TAACATATTAGTATTAAGAATTAGTACTAATTCTTAAAATTAATTTCCCAGAGGAAAACTGAAAAAAAAATCGAAATATAAAATTTAAGTATATAAATTAACTTCCAGTTTAAAATTGTTAAAATATGCAGCTCTTAACTTCTAGAATGAATATTCAAAAATATAAAAATAACTTTTTATCCCAATTATCATGATCCAAAATCTTGATATATTATTTTTTCTCCTACAGTATTGGGATGGCAGGTTGACCTTTTTCACTAGAAATCAAGGTCACATTAACACATGACACCTAATCTTTAGGAGCTCTTATCTAACAGTTCAAATATGGACTATTGGTTTTAATATTAAGTGCAGCTTGTCACTGAATGATGTTTGTCTGATCTGGTAATTATACCTTCATAATTTAAATATGTCATGTCTTGACAATCTGTTAGGGTACAGAAAGAAGATCTTTGAACTTCTACATTTATCTTTTGCAACTTCAATTTTTTGTATATGATTTTATAACATACACGATAAATTAGTAATGTTAAAAATATAGGTATTTAAAGTAAATATACGCATGGCAGCATTATAGATTCAAGCATTTTTACTAACAGATGTGCCCAGACAAAGGGAGATAATTGACCTACACTGGTTTAATTAAAATGCTTTAAACACTCAGAGAAGAATCTGTTGCCTGAATTCTTTCTGGTGGTGTGATCATGATAAAGACAGTTTTACATCAAGCTCTCTGTGGCTGTAGGGATTAGAGAGATAGTGTTGGCGTTGGGTGTCTTGGTTGATTAGGCTTGATTTCCTTGGAATGTTCATAGTTCATGTTTTAAATTAAAAGAGACAGGTGAGTATATGCATTAAAATTAAGTTATAATGTATCCTTTTAAACTTTTGAAAAATATATTTGTTATGAAGAGTGGTAATATATAAATCAGAAGTGGCTAAATAGCATTTAATTTTAATTAACTACTTTCTTCTATTCTAGGCTGACCAGATATCTGGTTTTCACATAAGATCGGTTCTCTGTGTACCTATTTGGAATAGCAACCACCAAATAATTGGTAAGACATTATCTAAGTGTTTAAACATTTTTTTTAAAAGAAATACAAATTTACTTTAAAATATACCCATATCTTTTTTATGTGTTTCCCTTTTTATGTCCAGGACTAACCAACCAACTTATGTCTCATCCTCTTGTATAATCTTGTAGGTGCAGACTCCTGACAAATCAATATTAATCAGAACAGTGGAAAAATATTTATTCCCTTAAATAAGAATCAGTAATTTTGTAGTTGTATGAGGCCTTAGAAAGCAACTAATAGAACTCTCTTATCTTACCCTGTGGAAATTGAGGCAGAGAGAAAGAGAGGGAGGTGGGAAGGGAGGGAGAGGGGGGTGAGGAGGGAAATAGGCAGGGAGAGAGGGGTTGCGGGGAGAGAGAGAGAGAGAAGAGAGATCATGCATAAAGACAAATGGAGTCACAGAGTGAGCTGGTAGCGGAGTCAAGACTAAAACGCAGGCCTCCGAACTCATGGTACAGACCATTGCATCTCTATACTTTTTATATCTATGTTTTTACAGATAAATTAAATGCAAAGGAAGACAGAACATGCTTTATTATACTGAACACGTATCTTTCTGCCTGGATGCTTCTGAAATAGGCTGCACTTTCCACAGAATAAAGGAACTGTGGGCCAAAGCAGCTTCCAATTTTTCTTTCCCTCCCTGTTCTTATGTTTTTCCCTCAAAAACTCAGTCAGAAAAATATCAGACCTAAGAAATCTAAGCAAGAAGAGGTCAATGGTTGAAGAAATCATGAAGGATGTAGACATTAGTTAAAATTATTGAAACATAATAAAAATAGGATATTTTTCTAGGAGGCATAAGGTAACTAATGTACCTATTTGCCTCTCTTTGCTTCCCCCAAGGTTACCTCTTAAACTCCAAGACATTGCTACTTGCCAAACAATTTTAGGGTATCATGACTTATCTCCCTAATGGGAAATTAGGTGTTTTAAAAATATAAGCATGCTTTAGAATTACAGCTGTTTTTTGTTTGTAGTAAATGGTGACACAGAGGAATAGCTTTTAAGATTGTTGAATTTTTCTGGTTAAGCCTGCGTGTTTTGATAGTCATGCCCTCAAACATCTGGTATAACGCTGGACATGAACTTTGTAAAGAGGAAGCACACGTAAATTAATCATGTGAGAACTATATGTACTCCTCTGGCAGCAAGCAACAGAATTAGCCTTGCTTTGAAGGTTAACTCTATCATAATTCCTAACATTTCTTGAATGTTCACTCCATTCATTGTCTCATTTAATCTTCATCACCCTCTGAGATAGTTAACATTTAACCCTCATTATACAAATGAGGAAATTCAGTGCTAAGAAAGTTAGGTAACTTGTTCAAGGAAACACTGCTAATGGTGGAGTTGAAATTTGAACCAAGACAGTCCAACTCCAGAGCCGATGTTCGTAATCACTGTGTCGTCATACTGCCTCACGCAAACGTGGTGCTTCTGGGAATTGAAAAAATAAAAAATTCTGTGGATAGATAGATAGATGATAGATAGATAGATAGTCAGTCAGATAGACAGATAGACAGATAGATACAGATATAGACACAATTATATGTATTCCATTACATATATGTTTATGTGTGTGTATATATGCCAGATTTATCAGAGTTATTGCACACAGTCATCTTGAAAACCATTTTTGGGAATTAGATTTATGCTTGGTAGAACTCTAGGCTTCACTGAGACCTAGTCTGGATATTGCAGCAGAAATGCAGAAAGTAGACTGCATTTCTGTACAGCTCAGATCTGTTATTGTGGAGACATCAGGTGCTAGAGAAACCAGAATAAACTGAGTGTCTCAAGTTACTTAAAGGCATCGAGTCAGCCGGGCTTACTTATTGGAGTGACACAGTGTCCAGTGCTGAAAATGACCACATATCCCAAACTCTTCCCACAGGAGTGGCTCAAGTGTTAAACAGACTTGACGGAAAACCTTTTGATGATGCGGACCAACGACTTTTTGAGGTAAAAATAAATTTGTGAACCAAGGGTTGTAGCTGAGACATCAGTAGTCTCCTGGTTGTAGCTTGCCTGAATTTGTAAGGATAAACAATTATCGTTATACTAAAACAGTATGACATTTTTAAAGGAAGATTTAAAGAATACGTTAGTGCTTAGGTAAGATTTGGTTCTCTTTTTTTACTAATTAGATTATTTCGTGACCATTGATTATTTTTATCTTAATTTTATTACAGAACCGAATCGCCCACTCTTTTCTCCAAAGTGTTAATTGTCTTATCTTTGTCTTGTTTGGTGTGTTCAGAGTCGTGAGACCAGGTGTGGTGTCATTACCTTTCTTATGTTTACAAGCTTCCTTTGATTCCTGTCTGCCCTCTAGCTAGGGAGCGTGGCCTTGAGCAGGCTTCAAGTGACCAACATGAAAACTCCATGATTTTTTTTCTCTAGCCGAGAACACCTCACAGTTTCTTTACTAACTGGTTCTAAATCAGTTCTCCTTCCTCTTAACATTTAACTTATGGGTATACACACATTTGGTCTCTTTACCAAAATATTTTCTAGCCTAGCTACTAAAAGAGGTTGCTTTGGTTAAACAAAATGGAATTACCAATTTCAGTCCACAACCTAAATAAAGAACATATTTAAATAGACCGTAAGCATGTTTTTAAATATATGACATTTCTTCACAGTGACATTAAATTAATAATTTTTTCTGATGTGCAATGTGAGCTATAAAGCTGTTACATGACAATAGTAATTAAGAATGTTAATGTGCATATTTCCCCAAGGCCTACCTCTGTGTACAATAAAATTATATTTTCAGGCCCATCCCTGATGACCGCCTGGTTTCATATTAGATTATGCCAATGAGATATTGGGATTTTTAATTAGTGGGCTCTCTCTTTCTTAGGCTTTTGTTATCTTTTGTGGCCTTGGCATCAACAACACAATTATGTACGATCAAGTGAAGAAGTCTTGGGCCAAGCAGTCCGTGGCTCTTGATGTAAGTACAGTATTCATGGCAGAGTTGTATGCTAAAATGCCCTAATTTTATGAGGGAAAAAATCCTTGTTGTGGGGCTTAGTTTCTCAATTTAAATATTCATTGGGTCTTAATCATTTTAGAGTCATAGATTTGAATCTGATGAAAGCTAGAGACTGTCTCTAGAAGAATGCACATATGCACACAATTTTATATATAATTTCAGGGAGTTTACAGATTTCTTGAAGTTCATCCATGTATGTCATATGGTTTGATATAGATTTTTAAATATTAGGCTTATTAAAAGTGATGATAGAAAAGTAATTTCACAGGATTTTAAGTATATTATGAACTTATTTTGAATGCGTACAGTCTGGAAATTGACAACATTTTTTTGCCATAAGAAAAAATTCACTATGAAGATATATGATCTAGATAGGGGAAACCGTTCCTATCAACTCCCCTGCACCCCATCCCCCACATCCCACCAAGAACTCTGACCCGTTTCCTATACCTGCATTTCCTCTCAGACCTACTAAGTTCTGAAAGAACAAATCTCAGCTTGTTTTGACCCAAGACCTATTTTTTTCTGCTCTGTAGCTATCAAAGATTTTGTTTATAACTGTGAAATATTAAGTAGGGCAGATACAATCAATATCAATGTCGAGATGACATTTTATAGAGCAGTATGATGTAATACATGCCCAACATTCAAAATGTTCTGTAAAAAACAAAACGAAACCCCAAAACAAAATATTCTGTGTACCAAGTAAGATGTTGGTAGAAAGAGAAAACCAAGGGAGAGAATGAGCAAGCAAGTCAGTGGTACCTGCACTGCTCTGATATGAGGTTTGCAAGACATGAAATTATAGTTATCTATCAGTATACTTTTTCTCCTAACTAGACCATGAACTCTACAAGCACAGTGATTTTTATCTTTTTCACACTTATTCTCAGTGCCTAGCAGCGTACTTAACACAGAGGAGGTATTTATTGAGCAGTCTTTGGAGGGAGAGAAAGAAGGAGGAAGGAAAGTACAGAAGAAGGGATTTTATTTTATTTTTTGCTCTTTCTTTGAATTAGTCCTGCTTTGTTTATATGTAACATCTTTGTAATAGGAATAAAAACAATATATACAGGATGAATGAATACATAGGTCAACTGTAAACAAGCAACCAACCAATAGAAACCACTGTAGAGTGTTAAGGTCTGTGTGCTGAACTATAGTCAAATCCTGCCTCTGTCACCTACCTCGTTTGTGAGAAATAAATGAGATGATGCATGTGAAGATTTTAATATGCAGTCAACAAAATTATAGCAATAACAATAATACTATATTGTTACTTGTAGTAGTATATTTATTACTGAGAAATCACCATGGATTAGAAGAAAGAACAAAGGACAGGAATTTGGAAGAGCAAATGTTGAGTCATGCCTCCTTCACCATCATCAAAAATTTGCTGCTCTCCCTAGAGTTGCTTCACGTATTGTTTCTGAGTTTCTGTAAATATGAATATGGGGACACACTGTATACTAGCTCCACCTAAATGTTACTTTATATTGCCATAGTATAATTCACACACACACACACATACACACACACACACACACACACACACACACACGAGGTTAGGGGAGAGAGAGGGAGAGGTCCACAGAACATCTCATATATACCCATATTCTCACTCCTCACCTTACTCATAGTGGATCTTCCTCATGTTGAGAAGGGACTAGAATAACTGGGTTGAAGCATGAATGGTCATTTACCAATGAAAGTCAGCATTCTCACTGGTACTACTTCCTAATCCCCATGTCATGCCCCCCGTCCCCCTCCCTCCTTTTTTTTTCACCCAAGGAGCCACAGATCTCATTACCTAGAAAGTGCTAATATAGTCACGATCTTCTTATCCATGAATTGCTCATTTGGCTTCATGGTGAACACCCTCTTTTTTGTGTAACTCAGATAGCGTCTGTCCTTAGACACAAAAATTATTGCTGACACTCTCAAATTTCCAACACAACTCTGAGCCTTGTGACAGTCACACTTTCAGAGGTTGATTTATGTGTGTGGACTTCTATGTTCTGTGTGCTTTATTTTGTGGCGGTGTCAAAAATGTCATTCCCAGTCAGAATTCTTATGCTGTCATCTCGGTTTTGTCCCTCCCACCTCCACTCAATCCTACCTCACCAGACATCAAACTGTAGACTTTAATGGTCATTCACCCCCCTCCCTGGCTTGGGAATCTATACGCAAGAATATCTAGAAGGATTTCTTATTTCAGAACTTTGTGAAGACACGAAATGATTTGTTGAGAACTACTAAACCCAAACTCTGGAATGAGATCTACATATAATATAGTATACATTAATAATTACATGAATAATGTAATATTTATATAAACATTTCTATTGAAACGATATGTTTATATTTATGTATTTATAACTAGCTTAGTCCAATGAGAGATTTAAGGTATATTATAAGGATATAAATGATCCAGCAAATTTTTTCGAAGGTAAAATAATAATAATAACAACAACAACGACAGAGCTAAAAGAGAGAGACAGAGAGGGAGAAGGAGAAAGAGAGAACTTGCAAGGTTGGGAGACAAAACCATATGCAATGCTATCCTTGTATCATCTCCATTGCTCTTCCCCCAAGGACCTGGAATAACCCTCTCCTTTTTTGTACTGTGCCTAAGGAAAGATTCCCCACTCGAATCTGGCACGTTCTTCTTCTTGCTTGTCTCGTTTTTGCTTATTTTCTTCAGTTTTTATCCTACTTGATCTTGCCTAAGATCTATGTCTAAATGTAGCTTTTTTAATCTTATTGCAGTGTCATTTTTTTCATTTGGCTACATGAATGGAGGGAAATAATTCACCCCTGACCCCAGTGACAATAACCACTCTAGGAGTCTTCATGGCCTGGAGAAGTACTATGAATACATTTCCTCCTGCGTGTTCACGAGACTCTTGAGAGATAGTACATTTTCTTCTGTGTTTTAAAAATTCTTTCCCCGAGGCATTTGAAATAAAAATACCCCCTTGGTGCATCCTCTGGAAATACATATTCTCCAGATAAATTCTCTGAGAAGGCTAATCCTCACCAATGCTGGCCATAATGTTCAGGGCTCACTGGAAGTACACATTTAACACAGGCCTTGCTTCATTCGCATCAATACCCGCTGCAAAAGAAGTCTGCTGATTTTATCCAAGCGAAAGGCAGTGTAGGGACAAGATTTAAAGCTTGTTTTCATCATTGATCTAATAAGTCTAGTTAGGATTGAATCCTGGTTCAGAACTGTTGATTTTGGTCAAGCTACTTAACCTCTCAATCTCACTTTTTTCATACGTTAAATGAGTATGCTAAGAAAGATGTTTAAACAGTTAAATAAAATAATGCAGTGTTTAGAGAGAGTGTTTAGTTACAGTTAGCACTTAATAAAAGTTAGCTGTTCTATTAGCCAGAGCACTTGCTGTCTGTCCTACATTTGTACTGAGTTCTGTTTGCTTAGCCCAAGATTTGCTGTAAAACTGTAGGGGCTGGGGTGGAGGTGTAATTTTTTGCCTCTTTTATCAGGAAGATCATTATCTGCTTGAAGTCTGAGCTGTAAACAGACTCCCTCATTTCCTAGATCCCTGTTTTATAGCACTGAGCATCCCAGTAGCATTACAGCCACAGCCACTGTGCTCCAGCGCACTGCTGCTCACTACTGCTCATTCAGTATGAGCTTGTCATCTGTGGCCCATGTTATCCTATGGGTTTCTGCAGAAAAGTCCAGGGCATGGAAATATAAAACTCCCCATGTCTGACGCGACCATGCAGATCTTCTACAGCTACACATCTCAAGGGCAATGCCTCCCAGGAAAGACTTGCCATACTGGAGAGTCCCTTCCTCGTTGCCACATGCTGGCAACTTCAACTCGTTTTAGACTAATCCACAAATGGTAAAAAATAGAAATATAAGCATACAAAATATTTTCTACTCTTCTGGCCTTTAAAAAGTGAAGCGACTAATACATTATCTGGATTTCGATCAGCAGTTGAATTATAAACAATTATTTTGATGATTGCTTTTCTTAACTTCTCATAGTTTAGTTATGTAATTCCATTGTTAAAGTCCTTTTTCTAACAACACAAAATTAATACTCTAAAGCTATTAAGGAGCAGAGGTGCTCTTAAAGCTGAACAAAGAAAGGACTTTACTACCAATTTTAATAACTTTAATTTTATGATCCTGATTTCCATTCTGCATGAGCAGCCCAGAGCTTCAACAAGAAATTATTTGAGAATAAGAATTGTCGATAAAGGGAAAGAACTTGACCTGTAAATCCAGGATACAGATAAAATACAGTACTAGTATTGTTGTAGAATATTACTTCTTCATTTTGAACATCAAGAATTGTCCTTTGGGGTGTCTTTCATAGATATTGCAAATGAAGCTTCACCTAATACGGATGAGAAATTTTCCAGGAAATGTACGTCAGTGTATTAAGGGACACCTTATATACCTTTATGATCAGAGGAGGGAAGGAATGAGGGTCAAACAGAGGGTGTGAAAAGGCATATGCAATCAGGAGCCAAGCCCCATTTATTTTACCTCCCCAAAGCCTCTCCCATCCATTTTATTCTTCCAATTGCCACAGCAACCATCCTACTTAAGGGCTTCATTACCTCTCAGCTGCACAATTTTAATAGCCTTCTATTTGTTCTTCCTAAACTGTAATTTAGATTGCATCACTCACCCACTCATAGACCTTAAATTACTCCCCCATTACCTATCAAACTACAAACTTCTTGGCCTTCACGATCCTTGGAAATCTCATATGAAACTATTTTTTTACCCTGGCTTTATTTCTCTACTCAAAGTATTCTATGCTACTCACAGACTCAACTACATCTTAGTCTACAAATCAGCCACCTGCTTCTCTGCCATCTGATTTTCACTTCGACATTCTCTCCACTTTAGTCATTCTCTATTTCAATTACAGCATCTCCCTCAAAATTATCCCATCATTCAAAGT